CTCTACTGGCACGGCCGTCATGATTAGCCCCACGAATCACTGCCTTTATTCTTAAATCATCTATTTCTTGATTACCAACTTTCAGAAGACTCTAGAATGAATGAATAGCCCAAAATTAAGTTTTAATATCTAGTATTGACATAGTATATGCTATTGGAATTTCACTGAAATCACTGGAAATGAAATTTTAATTAATAAATTTATGCAATCTGGCAAATACAGTGTTTGTCTTCTTATTTTTGCTCTTTCTGTGGACCCAGAAGCTGCTACTCATGGGACTGTGGATTCCATGGCTTCAGGTCCCCTAACTATGGGGTTTGTGGTTTTCCATCCCTGAGCTAAGGGTCTAGATTCTGCTATCCAAACTACTTTGCCACCGGAAGCTGCCAGTCATCATGTTACAAACCAACCTCGGGATCTAGCTTCTTTCAGTCAACTTGCTAAGATGCTAGATCACTTAGACTATTATCATCACAGTCTCTATTGTCACAGCCATCATTGTTATTCCCATAAATTACTACCATTCATTTATTCTTACATCATCTATATATTTCTTGATCACCAAATTTGGGAAGACTCTGAATGTGCAATCCAACATTAAGTTTGAATATCTGTAGTATTGATATAGCATACGTTGCTTGGATTTTCATTGACTATCACTGGAAAATGAAAATTTTAATTTAATACATTGATGTAAACTGGCATGCAAAGACTGAGCTACCAAGTCTGTTCCTTCGGCCTTTCTACACCCCTCCCCCATCCCAGCATCCTGGTCTACATGCTGACCTGTCCTCCCTAGCACCTGGCAGCTGGGCTCCTCTCTCTCCAGTGGCTGCCAGGACACTGGCACTGAGGCCTCCAGCTCCCAGATGTCAACTCCTGCAGATGTTTTCTTCCTGCTCCAGACCCCCGTGCTCTACAGTTACTGACAGATGACTTGCATGGGTCTCTTGGCAATGGATCCATAAGCTGCTCCTGACTGGGTCCATAGCCAATAGCCCCCTTACTTTTGGGTGGTAGGTCTCTCCCACCCTGAGTGTAGGTCTCTCCCACCCTGAGCGATGGGTCAAGATAGTGTCACCACTAGTTTGGTGTTCAGACTCTCCAGTCATTTGACTACCAACAAGGCTGTGAGTCTGACTTCAGCAGATTAACTTGTTGAATATCCAGACCTTCATGTAGAGACATCTGTTTTATTCACACAAGCAAGAACTCTCTCCATGCTCTCCGAGGTCTAGTGTTTAAAAAATCTGTAACAGGTTATTATAGATTAGTTCTAACAGAATGTAAAATTAAATAACAAACCTAATCTTTAAATTATATGGTTTCATTGGGGATGGAAATCATTCATTAGAAATCTTTCACAATTAAGAAGATAACTTAATAAACATTCTGATATCTATGTGTTTTTGTTGCTATTATTTGTTATTTTTATTGACAAGAAACTTCTTTTCCCATGTTAGATATGGTTATATATATGTGTGTGTGCTTATGTTATCTAATGTATATCCATATACCATGCACTTATATATCATATCATAATGTATATACTAATCACCTATAGAGAGAGCCCATGATTTTGGAGGTTTACAAGCAAAACATATACACATAGTCAGATGTGAAACTATACTCCTGAAATTACATAATTTTGTAAATGATTGGTAAATCATTACTATTGGGTTAAAAAATAGAAAGTTAGAGAATTAAAATAAAAACAAGAAAATATTTGACAAAAACAAGGATTAAATGAATGTAAACATGGATACACATATGTACATAAAATATTACTATACATACAGAATGAAACACTGTATGTAGAAATGTGTATGTATATACATATATACACACATGTATGATATTTATAATAGATAAAGTTTTATATATGTGAGTGATTAATATGACTAAGAAAGCAAGCTTCAGAATCTTAGAAGTTGGAGGTTCTGAATAACCTTTTTATTTGGATTTTAAATGTTTTATATAGATTTGATATAAAATAATCTACAAAACTATGAAAAACTTAAATCTTTCACTCATGCACATTTTTGCATCTCTCTTTAAGTTAGAAGAAAAGCAAAAAAGGTTGAAGGATATTTAAGAAAGGCAAAGGAAGCCTAACACTTAGACACTTTATATTTACTTATCTAATTACTTATTTGTCTAAGTATTTATTGTTTAAAGATTTATAGGTCCCTCCCTGACAGTGCGATGGGTTAAAGCATAGCACTGTGAAGCTATCCACCGTTCTTCAGTGTGAGTTCGATCCCCAGCTGGGGAGCTGACCCACAGGGCACAGCAGACCTCTCCTGTCTCCCTGCTGCTCCCTTCAGCAGTGTATGTCAGTCAATCTACCTGTTCTGCACCCAACTCTGTCTCTGGTGAATCCTCTCACCACCCCTGCATCAATAGCCAGTTTCCCAGTTCTGTATGAATATATAATTTTTAAAAAAATAAAATTTATACATGAAGTATATAAATGTAATTATTATATTGACATGTAAAAATGAAATGTCAATCTAATCACTGCTACATATTTTCAGAAATGACTAAATCTATGACTCAAATAACTCCCATTAAGTTTATCTGATGTCTGTGTTTAAAAGTGACTAAATTTCTGAATCCTGTGAGTACTTTCCCATGGAATTCATTTCCTTATAGTGTGTAAGGAGGAAGCCACTATTCTTGTCACAGTAATTCTTGGTTCCGCATGCATGGGTTTTTACCTCCATGTTCTGCAAGAGTTTGTACTTTATATGGCCGAGAAACACAAGCTTTTATGTCAGCACAAAATGGAGATACTTTTATTTTATTTTTTATAATCATGTGCTAATCTTTTATTGGCTACATATGCCAGAAACAATAAAATGCTGTGTCAGACCCACTTATGTAGGGATACAAATAAAATGGCATTATCTTTATGTTGAGCTAAGTGACTGTTCAAAGCAATTTTCAAGTCATTATTTCTTTAGAATCTTAAAATCACTTGAAGGAAGTTATATTTTACATGCTGCTTGACATACCTTTCATTTAAACCTGCTACAATGGAAACTCCAAGCTAGTTAAGATCTGGCCAAGGATCCAAGTTTCATAGAAAATCCACATCCACAATTTCATTTATTACATTTGACTTGGGCTTTCTGAAAAGTGTAGGAGTCCATAGAAGACTAGCAGTTTTTGAAAAGTTGAGGACAGAATGCCTTTGACTTTCAGTAGCTCTAGTTGAAGTTACCCCATTTTGGTTGCAAAGTGTCTGAATGTTGCATTCCTATAATCAGTTGCTAGTCTGACTCATGTATCTGAATGGGTGTAAAGAGATTATCTCTGAATGTGGAAGACACGGGGTCTATCTTGGTGCTTCCCCAAGACACAAACTCAATAGCGCTGGAGTGAGCTCCTGGTGTGTCCTTCCGCTGTGTCTCAGCATAAAGCTGGATATTCTGGCTTTTTATTTTCTAAGCTCCTATAAAGATAGACTTTATAATGAAGTAAAAATCAAACCCAACAGGTAACTATAATCCAGAGGCATTCTTTGGGGGTGGGAGGGAGAAAATGGTTTAAAATGGTGGGAAGAACACAAGGTACTATTGTGATGGTGCATGGGTGACTGGGGGTGGGAACTCCTTGGGGACCAAACCCAAGTGGATAAAGCACACAATGTATGAAAATGAAGAATGATGTCAACAATGGATAAAATGTAAAAAATATATAAAATAAATAAATGCATAAAAAACATAGGAAGTCCACTTGGGGGCTTCCAGAAAAGCTTTTCCTCACATGAGTAGAAGCTATTTTCTGCTTATCCTCTTAGTTTGTCCCCTTTGGCATGGTGTTGGAAGGCGCCATACCTGTAGCTTTCTCAGCCACTTCACCGTCCAAAGAAGAGCACCTTTATGCTGAGGATCCAGAATGGAAAGTCCTGGACTTGAGGATATTGTCATACTACAAAATAGATTTAGAGACATCAAAACAAACAAACAAAAAAAAAAAGGACTTGAGGAAATAATGAGTCACTAAAAATATGGCTTATTATAAATGAGCTAACTGTAGAAACAACATGATATCTTTATGTAGAGCAAGTCATCCTTCAAGAAATTTGCAACGCAGTTGTTTATGTCCTCAGGCAAACCTGTGAGGAATTTCTTCATAATATGTTAAAGTCCTTTAGCACGTGAGAAAACGAGGACTTGGAGGGAGTGACTATTTGCCAAAGCTGCGCGTTCATTTAGGGAAATGAAAATGTCCCATTCTCTTCCAAAATGCATTATATCTAAATGATGGCAGACTACCTAGTTAAACTCCTTTAAGTATAGATGTGGAGCTTGAGACCTAGAAGAGTTAGTTTCTGAGTCATATAGCAAGTTAATGTTAAGACTAAGGACAGAACCCCTTGTCCAAAGGTTAAATTTTATGCAGTCACAATTGTGTCACAATATCTCATCTAATTCTCCCTCCACACTTCTCTTTCTTTCCAATATCACTACTATCATCATCACCATGAAATTAGTTGGAAAATAATAATTTATTTCTATAAGCATCAAGTATATATAATTTTTCATTATACTGCAAGAAACTGTCTCAATCCCATACAAACACTGCTCCAGAAACTGGGGACCTACCCCCAAACCTCTTGCAACATTCTGAATTTACTACTATCAAGATAATTTGCTCCCTATATACCAGCAAAGCAGAAACAGTGACTCTGGAGCAGAACAAGAATTTAATACAGAAGCTGCCTTCCCTCCCCCACCTGTAACTGAAAAAAACTTTGTGCATATTCTAGAACAATGTGACCCAAACCCTATTAGTCTAGAACCTTTATTTCACTCACCCAGTGGGCACAGTTGATTGTAAGACTTCTCCTATGTTACTTAACTAACAGGAATATTATGACTCAAGGGTCTTGCTAAAGAAATCTAGTCAGAACCAACCAGGATTCCATCTATAAGCTCCTGTCCCCCATTGTTAAACAAATGTGATCAAAAAACATTTTAGAACCCCATCTGTGAATCCTTCCCCCTGACAAAACTACACAGATATTTATATCAGCAGCCTTAAAACCCCAGGCTAATTTCTCTCTCGAATATGTGCACAATAGCTGTTGAGTGCAGATGAATGTGGATTCATCTGCAAAAAGCTTCCCTTCTAACTGACTCTGACTCCCTCATGATCTTTTTCCTGTGTGAAAGTCAAGAACCTCCAGGGTCCCTCAACACCCTGGGATTCTATCAACTTTATGACTTCAGTTCCATTTACAGGCAGCACCCATTTCTACCATATTCCCATTACACCTTCCCTGGGTTTCAGCCCTGAAAGACTTCAGCTTCCTCCTTGCCTCTAACTGCCTGTTCCATTACACTCACTGAACAGAAATTGTGAACCCAAGAGTACAGGTAGAAAGATCCTGTGGCCCAGGCAACATTACTTTCAGGATTGCTGGTCATCTCTTC